TGAAAGGCCCACACTGTCATGTACTTATTAGTCCAAGTCTATAGTTTACATTAGGAGGGTACACTGCTGGTATTGCATATCCTTCAGGTGTGATGATGTAGTGAGAAGTGTGCCCACAATTAAAACATCATTTGAATGCTTCAACTACACTAAGTATCCCTTGCTTTGCATCTTCATTCCCACAACCATAAACATTTAGGCACAACTCTTCATGATCATTCCTTTTTAACAATTAAAATAAGCTAACACCAATTAAATGCATCCTGTGAACTAAGAATCATATTGTACATTTTTCAATAGCCTGATGATTTTTTTCCATTTTACAAAGTAAGAATGAAATTCAAACAAGTTGTCCCTTATACATGGCTACCTAAAGTGGCAAAGCCAGGATTCAAATCAAGCTTGTTGGGCTCCAGTCACTATTGGTCTTGATGAAGATGATGGTGATGACAATGATGGTTATGGTGGTGGCGATGGTAGTGGTGATGCTGATGGTAGGGGTGATGCTGATGGTGGTGGTGATGCTGATGGTAGTGGTGATGCTGATGGTAGGGGTGATCCTGATGGTGGTGGTGGTGATGCTGATGGTAGTGGTGATGCTGATGGTGGTGGTGATGCTGATGGTGGTGGTGATGCTGATGGTGGTGGTGATGCTGATTGTAGTGGTGATGCTGATGGTGGTGGTGATGCTGATGGTGGTGGTGATGCTAAGTGCTGATGGAAGCAGTTCCTAGAATATGCTGTGAGGCCCTGCACCAGGTGTTTTATGTACTCTACTAGAGCCTTACGATAGCTCTCGGAAGTGGGTACTGTTACTGTTTTCTTGTGAACGATCAAACTGAGGCTCAGATAGGTTAAGACAGCAATCTTCCTCGAAGGCAGAGACTCTCCTGAGTGGAGGCTAGTGGCTGCCGTTGTTGACGGCCTACCATCTCTCTCTACAAATGAAGACAGTAAAAGGTACAGGACTAAGTCCATTCCTGAAAGTGAATTTCTTGGTCGGTTTTGTAGGTCTGTATCTGGAAGCTGACAGGTTGGTCTGGTTTAGTAAGGTCACTATCCACAGCCCTGACTGATGGCTACTCGCGTTTCCCAAGACTCGGGGTGTGTCTGACAGCAGTGCTTTCCTACAGGCAAGGCAGACTCGGCCTCAGCCACGGTTATTGTCTTTCTAGTCAGGGGAGGACTGCTCCCAGGCTTGTGGGTACATGACTAGTGCTCAGAAATAGCCCCCTAATCGGCCTCATCAGCTTTGAAGGAGGCCACAGCAGGAGGGGCCTAAGTAGGCCAACACTTTAACCCAGTTACGTGAGGGCAGCTCTAATCCAGGATGATCAGATCTTGCTAAACCCTCTAGGGGAAAAATGGCCAAAAGCTGTTTCTTGACTCCAAGTATCCCAGGTTTGCTGCAGACACGCCTTTTTCCTTCTGGAAGAGCATGACCCGGAGGTTATAATGGGCCAAGCTTAACTTGCAAGGCAGCCAGGCTTTTAGCAGCTGGCAACTGCTCAGGCTATTGGAAATGCCCAGGGTTCAAGCTGCCTCAGGTCAAACCATTGGTTTTCCTTGAAAGGCCCACTGGCTCCCCTTCCTCCACCTTGAGAAAGCCAGGAAATCACTGCCTTCCTCTGTGTGGGCCAGACAAGCACTTACGTCAACCTGGACGCTTCTGGACAGGCTAGGCTCTGCCTCCCCTCTGCTACCACTGCTGCCAGCTCACCTCATGTCTGGTGTTTGACTAACCTAAAGTTCCCTAGGGAACCAGACTGAGCTGTCTTTCTAGGCTGTGGTTGGGAAATAAATAAAAACAAAACAAAACAAACAACAATAATGAAAAAACCCCAGAGCTGTTGGACCTGGCCTGGTCTGGTTTGTCTGGCTCTCTGCCCCTCGTTTGGCACAATGGTCTTCCTGATGCAGGTGTACTTGGCCACCTCAGTATTGTGTCCCCAAAACCACTTGTTTTGGGAGAGAGTTCAACAGAATGATTCCCTCAGGTAGGAAGCAGAAAGCTTGTCTGGCCTCATGGATGCTTGTAGAGAAAGAAGACAGTCTTGGGTTTATGTCTTCTTTCATTGACATGGGGTCTTGCTCTGTAGCCCAGGCTGTCTTCCCAACTTGGAGTCCTCCTGCCTCAACATCCCAAGTGTGAGGATCCCAAGTACTGGGATTTCAGGCCTGTACTACCACATCTAGGTTGGACAAAGTGTGATAATGATGTCACATGCTAAAAGTTTACAATTTTTTTTTCACCAAGGGGTTTTCTGTAGCAGGAAAGTGACTTCCTTGAAGAAGGGAAGAAGAAACAATTCCAGTATTTAAAGCGACTCTAAAGCACTTTAGGTTGTAAGATAGCTCTTAGTTCATAACACTGGAAGTGAAAGAAGGTGCATGTCATTGATCATAAGGTGCATTCAGCTTTCTAGAGATATTAAAACATGACCAAAAATGTCTTAGAGCCAAAGAAAAAGAGAAAAATCCATTAAAACAGATAGCACCTCTTCTACCCACACCACATCCCCCCAGACTTCCCCAACACAGGGCGCATAAAGGCACAGCGGGTGAGTGCAGTCAAAACCCCCGTAGCTGCTAATGGCTACTCTGAGGACAAGCTGTGTGATGAGACGCAGAGGCCAACTTCTCTGCCCCCCATCCCTCATGCCCAGAAGGGGCCCTCTAAGGTACCTCCTCAGAATCTATGAAATGTGGAGGAATGATTTCTAACTGTCTGGAGGAGCGTCAATTGCACTGGTAATGTTCACTCCCTTCAGTTGGATTTAGCTGTTCCTCTTCGTGCCTTTGAGATGTCTTAAAAGGTTTCGTAAAAGCACCGCTATAGACTGTCAGGTCAAAGAGATGACTCAGAACCTGGGGGCTTAAAGCAAGTACAAGAACAACAGAAAAGTTTGCCTGGAATTATGTGCTTGAGTCAGGCCTCGGCATTGATATTCTCTACCTGACCCCCACCCCCGCACCGCTGCCTTCCAGGCCATAAATACACAGCATTTATGAGCCTGATCACTCTGGCACCCTCCAAACATAAGGTAGATCCAAAGATGCATAGGAAGGGCCTGAGTTCCCATGAGACATAATGCTGGACGGTCCAGGATCTTTGTGAACAAATGAAATAGCCAAGAGGTTGTGCTCTTGGCTGGTAGGAAGGAGGAACCTGTAGATAGAGCCGAGGCAGGCTAGCACCCCCTCTGAAAGCCCCTGGGAAAAGGAGGTTAAAGGACAAGAGTCTCTGTACCAGGGAAAGCTGGTGGCTAGTACAGAGGCAGGGCTGGGACTGAGTTGTCGGACAACAGAATAGACCAGCGGCTCATGCTATTGTCCGCAGACCCTGGCAGGGACAGGCCAAGGCAGGATCCACCTTTATTACTGGGACTTGCCTTGTGAGATGCTGGGATCCCAGGCAGCTGACATGTCAAGGTTAGGGAGTCTCCTGTGGAATGTGTCTATCAATGGAGCAATGTGTCTACTGCTCCTTGGCTTGCAATTTAGCCATCTCAAATGCTACACATAACACTGACTGGGCGAGACGAGTCAAGCCGACTTTGAACGAGGCCGTCCTTGTCTGCTGAACCTGGAGCTCACCTTTTTTTTTTTTTTTCCAGCTGGCCTGGCAGGACAGCAAGCCCCCAGCAGCCCTCTTGTCTCCTTCCCATCAGGGCTGGCGTCACGGGAACATCTAGGCAAGCCTGGCTTTTACGTGGATTCTAGAGATCCGAACTCGGATCCTTCTGTTTTCCCAGCAGTCCCTTATCCAGTCATCTCCCCAGACCTCTCTTCCGTTTTCTCTGAGAGCTGGGCCCCTAAGCCATGGTCTCCCTAGCAATCTAACACACCAAATAGGCAGTCGAGCCCAAGGGAGGTGCAGCTTAGAGTACTGGTTTCTAGCTTCTTGCTTATTACTGAGCCTCATTTGACTCAGCTTCTCCCCTTCAGTGGGAACCACATTGCCAGTCAACTCCCAGAGCATCGGGGGGTGGGGGGTGGGGTGGGGGGGTTCCGGGAACACATGGAGAGGCACTGAACACTGGGACTGGCACACAGTTGTAGTTATTGCTTTACAGAGTGGGAACCTGAGCAGCCAATGAAATTAAAAACCAAGCTGGTTTATTTCTAGTTATTTCTAGTCAGGGACTATAAGGTGCTGCATGCTTCCCAGCCTGGGGGCCAACACCTGGCCAATGGGGGTGAGAGGGGTCCTCCTGCACTGACTGTCACTATGCATCCCTTCTTGAAGTGGCAACATCAGCAAATAAAAGGCAGAGGACTTTGGATAAGCACAGCCGGTTGTTGCCGAAGGACACTATTATCTTGCTTATTGTCCAAGGGACAGTCTGACCCTAAACAGATACTGCTTACTTGAAGGGCATTTGGGGGCAATGGGCCAGAAGTCAACATGTTTTAAAGTTGCGTTCTTTCTGTGTGTGTGTGTGTGTGTGTGTGTGTGTGTGTGTGTGTGTGTGTGTGTACCCTCACCCACATGTGTTCAGAAGTCAGAGATGAATGACCAATGTCTTCCCATTGATTGGCCAGACTAGCTATCTAAGGCCCTGGAATCTGTCTCCGTCCCCAAGGGCTGGGGTTAAAAGTTCATGCTGTTGTACTTGGCTTTTACATGTGTACTGGCGATTCAAACTCAGGTGCTCTTGCTTGTCCAACAAACACTTTATATACTGAGCCATCTCCCAAGCCCCCAAGTTGCATTGTTTGACCTCACCATCTGGCCTAGCAAACCATGGCGTCCAGAGAGCCTATGTCCCTGGCTGATAAGCTCCCCTTAGAGTGAATGGCCTGACAGGCTTCAGGAACCTCAGTGGAAGTAGGCAGTGTAGGGGAAATCAAGGCAAGTCACTATGCTGAGCCCAGCTGCCCTGGCTTGGGGAGGTGGTAGCTACTTCGTGACACACCAGGCCAACAAATGACCCCTTTTGTCTCCTTTGCAAAGCCTTCTTAAGAGGGTTCTGAGAAGCAAGGCCAGGACGCCTGAGTTCTCATAAATCTTTTAATAACAGTAAATGAAGAAAACATTATAACAATAAGTCCCATGGGGAGGGTTCCTTTTCATTCAGGGATCTTCAACGGCAGAAACACCTGAGGCTAAGATTCAAAATGCTAAGTACACAAATTAAGGACCATTTATTTCCAAAGGTGGCTGCAGAAACCACTTCAGTACAATCAAAGGGGTTTTACAAAACAGAAAAAACACATTACAAAAACCCCCAAAGAGGGGAGGTAGACTGGAGGTGGGGGAGTAAAGAACACCCCAGAAGCAGCCTAACAAAGAGGCTCGATCTTGCTGCCATCTAGGGAGTTCGGAGATGGGCTCTCAAGGGAGCCGTGCACATGAGGGGGACAGTACATGGCAGTCTCAGCATGGGAAGAAGGATGGAGGAAGAGGCGTTCACCAATGTCCCAGAAGGAATAATTGTACATCATTCAATTCCGTTCTCTTCACTACAATTGCATCAAATAAATGAAGAATGCTTTAAAATCTAATACAGCGCTGACACTAAAATGAATCAAGAGTTTCCAAAACATCGTTTCTGCTTAAGACGACTTTTGTTTTTGATTTGTTTATCATTGAGTGGGGGGTAGGGGTCGGTTTAGTGGCCCGAGTAGCAAATCAGTGGACAAAAGTGTCTTAGACAAGGGCCACGGCAAGTACCTCGGTCTTCCTGCAGTTGTGTACGCCAGAGGAAGACTGACTCCCCTCGTGGACTCCTACCTCAGAGAGGGCAAGGCCAGGAGAAGACTCAGGACACTCCTTCCCAGTCTTGGGCCTTCCCAGGTGGCCCGGGAGGCCCGGTCCTGGCTCACTCAAACCAGCAGCAGTGTCTTGTCCTCGAGTGTCACAAGGCCCCCTTTCCCTCCCCGCAAGTCTCCCTTCCAGTAGAAACTGTTAGGAAAGTCCTCTCCCAGACAAGGCAGGTGACAGAATCCTAGGGAAGTCTGTTTGGCAGCTGGAGGGTTCAAAGGGCCCTTGGCATCTCCTGAACACCCAGCTCAACACAACTCAGAGCATTACCTAGCCCCAGTTCCCCTGTGTAGAGCCCTGCTGACACTGAGCTATCTGTGAAGCTGGTAATTACATACAAAACACTGAGTCCTCCACGACCACACACAGCAAAGCCCCACCAGAGGCTACAGCAAAAGGGACCATCCGACGGGCACTCTAAGCAGCACGGGATAAAGCGCATGGCCGACCCCGCGTAGCCCACTTCGACCCTGTAAAGCCACAGGTACAGAAGTCCACAGACAGACAGAAGGCAGACTCAAGAGAGGTGGAGGTGGTGGCTCCAGAGCCCCACAGTGCATCACAGGATGACAGAAGTACTTGCTGCTAGGCTTCTGAGAGGATGTTGGGCCAAGTCTTATACAAAACCAAATACTGGGGGGCAGGAAGGACCTTTAAGGAAGCAAGACAACCTCTGTTGCTCAGAGTGGCTGCCACAAATTGTCCAGTGTAGCCAACTGTTCTTGTTGGCACAGCCCCTTGACCATAGACGTCGAGGACTTGAGGATGCGCTGTTTGTTCTCTCTTGCCGGGACTATCACAAAAAAACTGGCCACCTCTATGAGCACTCTCACACAGACACTGAGCTCACACACGCTGGTAGACTGCACACGGAACTTTGGCCAAGGTACCTAAGGAACAGCCTTCATAGGGACAAGAAAGGCCTGGCCCTTCAGAGTCAGTGCAAACTGCCTTCTCCTTTGTCCCTGGTACCACAGATAGTCTCTACCATCAGGCAGGCTGTTGGACATACCTGGGGGGGCAACTCCCAAGTCAAAGTGCTTAGTGCCTAGGCAGGTTACCTCTTTCCATGTGGGTTTGGACCAAGGTGAGAGTGAGATACAATGAAGAGGTCCCCTGTTCCCTAACACCTCAAACCCAGGCCAAGACTCCCTACGGAGTCTGTTGAAGGGGCCGTCACCTGCTTCTTTACCTTCTTTACATGTGAGCAAACCTAGGCCCCCTGCATTCCCCGCTTCCCTTCCCCCTTCTTGACAGCTGTGGCTGCCTCTGGCCTGGCCAAGCCAGACAACAGGGTTTGGAATTTCTTCTCTCCCTCTGAGCACCAGAAAACGCCTACCAGAAATGGGTCTGCTGAGCTGGTGCCAAAGCAGAGGCAAGCTCCTGGAGGCATGCCAATGCAGGGAAAGCCCAGGATGCCTGGCAATCTGGGCCACGGTGGTGCCTCAGATAGGGAAGAGGCCTGCGTGGCACTCCCACCTCTGTGGCATGCTGGAGGTGGCTCCCTCAGCGGAGGCCCTGCATCACTGCAGGAAGCAGCTCCGTGTTGTGGCAGAGGCCCAGGCAGGCCCTCATAGGCTTCCCTCCCATGACCTCTTTCCACATTCTTCTTTTAGAGGGAGGCCCAGAGCCAGGGAGGCTCTCACATTCTCTTCATCCATCGACTCCTCTGAGGGGGTGGGGGCAGATGAGCAACTGAAGAAGCATTTCTAGAGCCCAGCAAGAAGGTGAGAGGAGGAAGAGCCCCGCCCGGCGGGAGCTCAAGGGGGCCAGCGCACTAAGAGCTCTCCCTTTCCTGCTCTCTGTATCTCAGAGTCCATCACCTCATGGGCAAGTAGCCGTTCCCCAGAGATGCTTCCCTTAGTTTCCATTTGCTCCAGCAGATTCTCCTGCCGCTGCTTCCCCTGCAAGTCCACTTCATAAAATCATGGCCACTGAGGCACTGAAGCTCAGGTTAGGCCTAATACCCACAAACTCACACTGAAGACTGCAACTAGAACAAGGCGATGGGGTGGTCGAGGAACAAACTCTTCTACGCTTAAGCAAACCGCCTCCTACTAGAAGTCAACAAGGAGTCAGTAAATGCGCAGCCACACACCACTAAGTACCTTTCAACCAAAGAACACTTGAACCTCTACCTATGCGGACCTGACCCATTGGCAGTTCCCTTTCAACCTACGCCTGGGCTTTGGACGTTGTCAAATTGCTAAACCAGTGACGTTTCCCCCACACTGAGCACTTGGAGCAGAGTCTAGCTACGTGAAAGAAATCTAACCCTAAGGAAACTGCCTTTAGGAGCTGTGGCCACGTCCTCTAAGTACCAGGAATGTCTCTAGCGTACCTTCCCGAAATGCAAGGGTTTACCCCATTTCAAACATCTAAAATACAAACAGGCAAACAGCACCCACGGCCAACCCCAGCTCCCTCTCCCAGGAAGCGGCCTCAGACAAAGAGACACAGATAGACACATACAGAGACGATGAGGATGGTTCACGGGGGCAGCTGAGACTAGAACGTTGCCTGTTATCGACAGGACAGCGGTGTGATTCAGATCACAGCTTTCTCAAGTTGCCCCTCGACTTAGTTCCTGTCTAAATCTCTATGCTCACTTCAGATCGGGATGTGGATCTGTTCTCAGCTTTCACGGGGAAGGGTTTTTGTTTGTTTGTTTGTTTGTTTGTTTTTGTTTTGGGACGGGGAGGGGGTGTCCTGCCTGGTACTGTGCACACCTTCACCCTCTTTAGCCTCACTGTGGCAACCGATCTCCAGCAGCCCTCTACACAATCATGCCCTTGGGCTGCACATTGCTATCACCTGCCACCCCAGGCAGCACCCTAGAAGGAGCGGCTGGGTGGCTCCCTGCTTTGAGTCATGGGATACCCGTCACTGGAAGAATCAATTTTGGCTGTGATCTGGGAAGTCCCTTGGCTCTGGGCTTGCAGCTGGTATAGAAACAAGGCCTTGGTCCCCTTCTGGTGGGGGCTATGCTGGAGATAAAAGGGGATCCCAGCATGAGCCTGGAGGTCCCTGGCAGTGGAGAAATGAACCCAACACTATTTCATTGCTGGGATGCTGGAAGAACTAATGACTGCATGTTGTTCCCTGCTTCTTCAACTAGCTGTTGTCAAAAGCACCAACAAGCAGTGAGAGGGGCCCGCTGACTACCATTTCCCTGCGGAAGGCCACGCAGAGGGAGTGGGCCACAGGAGGGACCAAGAGACCAGGGGATGAAAGGGAGTAAGTGCCAGCCCCTAGCACTATGCCTGGGCACAAAGAGCCATCCATGGGGAGGAGCTGGGGAGGGAAGAGCAGTGGAAGAAAGGGACAGAGAGGAGGAAAAAAGTAAATACACCAAGCATCATCCTATCGCCCTCTCCATTGATTTTGTCAAGAACTGGGTGTTCTCTGAGTCAAGTCTGACTTGCTTCCTCAGGGAGAAACAAACCAAAACAAGAAAACAAAAAACAAAAAACAAACAAAATTAAACAAAACAAAAATCCAAGCACCTTCAGTCTATTTTCTTGGCTGGAAGCCGGAGCAAATCCAGCAGATATTTACACAAGGGCCCAGCCATGTATGAGAACAGGATGACCAGCTTCCCGTGGGTCATGGTCATGAGAGTCTGGTGTCCCGAGGCCCAGATGCGATACCAGGGGCCGTAGAATGGGTCTGAGATGGCCGGACACAGCATGTTGTTCAAATTCACTTCGGTGACCTGCAGGGACAAGGGAGGTAGAGTGAGCGTTCGCCATCCCGAGGCTTCCTCCGGCTACCGCCAGTTCAGCCATCTCTCCCTAGGGGTGACTAGACAAGGTGGGATTGACCAATCCCCACCTGTTCATAAGGGGGCTTCTTTGCCCTAGGCTTTCTGATGGGTGATGATGAGTCAATGTCCTGGGCGAAAGCTGTCGGGTTTTGCACAGTCTTGCTCTCCAGTTGGGCCCAGAGTCCATTGCCATTCCTAAGCATTTATTGTGTGCCTAGCTCCTGGAGAAAGATTATGGTTTCTTTTTTTAAGCTGTTAGCTGCATGGTCTCTGTCTCCAAGTAGCAAGGGCAATCATTGACTGCTTATGACCTCAAACTCGATGGTGCCCACTCAGCTTTACATGCCACGAGGAGGTCTGAGGAGCGTACAGACGATTTTGTGAGGGAAGTGGCACGTGAATGGACTCATGAAAGATGGACGAGGTTATGGCAAGGAGTGGGGGAGTCGAGCTTTCCTGGTGGGAGGTGTAGCAGCACATGGTATGTATGGTCACATGAGCACACCGACACTCCTGGAAAGCAGCAGACCAGTGAGGAGCGGCAAGAGGGAAGGAGGGGGCTGTGCAGGTCAGCATCATGCCGAGGCTTCCTGTAAGCACGCCGCTGGCAAAGAACCCAGCCGACCTCCGGCAAAGCAGAGCGAGGAAGACAAAGCGGGCGCCTCTCCAAAGGCATTGGGGACATCCAGTTACACGCCCGTATCATGCAAGGCCGCACGAGGCTCCACATGACTAACGCTGCGTTAATGCCAACCACACGAAACCAAACATGGCGCCATGTTCCTGCCTCCAGGACAGCCATAACACCTGCCTCCCAGAGCTCTTCAGCGCTCGCTCACATTAAAGACAAGTCCTCACCATCTCTCAAGGAAGCTAGGCTTCTATATCCTGCTAGAGTGAGGTGGAAAACTCCCTGTCCACACCCAACCATGAGCTTTCTCTCCTCACTTCAGCACTGATATATACCCTTGCAGTTTCGGCGCTATTGGACTCTGGGTATTTCAACATGGGGGCCAGCCATTTTTCATAGTCCAGGCACTTCTCATATTACAGAATGCTCTGGGGCCCCCAACACCTCACATACACTGGCCACACAGCCGAAGGAAGGGTCTCCCGAAGAACCTGGGAGAATCCCCAGAGTGGACCCAAGGTCAGAGGCCGTCCCAAGGCCCAGGGCCATCGGGATAAGGGTCCTACATGCCCATGAGGTCCACAGCAAAGCACTTGCCAGTTACAGACCCAAGTAGCCATGAGTGAAGGATATCCTTGCATCCTCAGGAATGAAGGAACAACCATTACTGAAGGATTCAGAAAACTCTTTGAAGAGGCCAAAGCTTTGGATCATAAATCAGCATCCCAGACACAACAATCTGACGTCCTGGCCTTTAGCATCATGTATTTTTCAAAGCAAACTGATACAACAGCACCAAGCAGGATTATCAAGATTTATGAAGAACTCCAAATAGAGGGGAGAGAAGGGGATCTAAGCAAACTTACCAGGCCGAGGATCTGCAGGATGCTGAAGTGGTAAAAGAACATGAGACCCGTCGAGAGAAGAGCCCACCGGAAACTGCTGAGGGGCTCTGGGGTGTAAGCACCTGGAGGAAGACGGGAGATGGTGAGCCGAGGGGAATAGTGACCCCACTTCTCCTCCTCTGCTCACAGGGGTGCAGGTGCTGAGGTCCCAGCCACAGCTGCAGCAGGCTTCGTGTCGCTTTCACTTGTCAATGACAGAACCTTCCAAGGGCCCCGATGCTTAGCGAGGAACCATGGCAGCCCTTTCTCGACCCCGGTTTCTGCCAGTTGATATCACACCATTAGAAAGAGAGGTTTCTGTTTTGGTCTAAAAGTCATTCATGATTATTCAAGGCGATTTGGAGTTTATAAAAAAACCAGAAAGAAGATAGAAGCGAAGGAGGAAAGCATTCCCAGCCCTTGATTCCTAGATTAGAACCCTCACTAATAACATGACTGTGTCTCCTCCATCATTTTCTCCATGCCCCAGGATTGTTTTAAAATTAATACTTAAATTAGTACTATCTGTATATGTAACTGTCTTTGTGTCTATATTTATTTCCTCATGATTCTAAATAATATGACACAGTAGTTGAGAGGTTAATGTTGAAGTCAGATAGATTCGGGTTCAATTTTTTTGTATGTTTGGTTGTGGCTTTTCCAAGATAAGGCTTCTCTATAGCCTTGGCTGTCCTGGAGCTCACTCTATAGACCAGGCTGGCCTCGAACTCACAGATCCACCTACCTCTGCCTCCTGAGTGCTGGGATTAAAGGTGAGCGCCACCACCACCTGGCAGATTTGGGTTCAAATTTTGACTCTACCATTCATTAGCTGTTTGGCTCTGAAAAACTTGCAACAATTTTTGCAAATCTTACTTGCCCATCAAATTGGGATAGTGGTGTCCCCAAAGTCTGCCCCAACATGGCTGCTCAAGGAGTATCAATGTTCTCTTCCTGTCAACCTTCCATCTAGAGCCCTTGTAAGCGTTTTTCCCAGGGATTGTGCCATTTCTCACCTACTGAATGACCCCTCCCAGGAACACCGGGTGATACCTTTCCTCTCCTATTACTGCTGGCAACTACTATCCTTGTAGGCCTGCATGTATGTCAGAGCGTACAAAGCAGGGACATGGTAGACAAGCTGCTGCAGGTAGCTCTCTGGTTAGGCACTTGGAAGGTGTGTTTCAGAAAGGGACCTGAAAAACACCTTCCCATCCCCCAACATGGGGGTGATGCCACCTCCTCCTACAGCAGTGTTTGCCCACGCCAGCCTTTCACTGATTCGTTCCTGTGTCCAACAGTTGTCTGTACCTTGCAGATGTTGGAAGAAGGCAAGGCCCCGTCAGTTTGAGAAATGCAGGCGATAGTGACGATACAGAGAGCTGGGGGTGGGGTGACTGAGGTTAGTGCTTCCAGTTCTGGGAAGACAAAACGCAGCCTGGGAGTGGGAGGTGGAGGTAGGGTGAGGAATGTTTCTTCATCGAGGCAGCATTGGAGCAGAGTCCTGAGAAACGAGTGGGACTTCAGGAGGGCCCCAGGCCTTTCGATCTGCACCCAGGCAGACATGAGGCAGGCAATTCAGAGCCAGACAGTAAGAGTTCGGTGGTGGTAGTAGTGGGGGGTGGTGGGGGGTGAGGATTCAACAGGTAAACTTGTGTGTTGTTCATGCCTGGTGACCTGATCCCGGGAACCAAGTAAAAATGCCAGATGTGGTGGGGCACATCTGTATTATCAACACTCCTATGGTGAGATGGGAGGCAGAGACAGAATAATCCCCTGGAAGGTTGTGGTCCAGCTATCCTGGAGAACGCAGACCAGCAGAAACAAGAGACATCCTGCCTCAAAACATGGTGGAACAAGATAACCAATTCCCAGAAGTTGTCCTCTAAGTTCACATGCATGTTGGGGCACATGCACACCCATACTCACATAAATACATCTTTCTCACAAGCACATACAACTCTCTTTCACACACCAAATAATGATAATAACAATAATAATTGTAATAGTAATCATGAAATGATTCAGTACAGTCCCAGGAAGAATGTAATGGAGGCAGTGAGTAAGCGGTTAGCAAAGCTGGTCTGCCCCAGACAGGGCCATGTGAGCCTCAAGGAGCTAGGCTGAGTGAGGGCTTTGGGCTATGGGCATCTGTTGAACTGCAAGGTCAAATATGCCATGTCTTACAAAGATTCTAGGAAGCAGGAGCATGACTAGGACTCAGAGATCCTCGGGAACACTAGAGCCTGGTAAACAGCCCACACCCTTTCTAGAGAGTTGGCCACCACTTAGTTCTGCCATCCTAGACTATGGCTCAAGGTGCCCGTTTCTTGCTTTTTCAGGAGAAAGCCAGAAACATGAAACTTTATGTGGAATGTCCTGATTTTTAAATGCAGGCAACTATTCAAACTGTCTTAAGCATGCTCAATGGGCCAAGCAAAACATGGGTTCCAGATGGATTTCAGTCCCTGGGCGGCCATCTCTGTGCTCTGCTCCAGAGCCACCCACTACCACTCGCGGCAGGGAGTTTGAGGAATGTGAGTTCTGGTCATTCAGGTGAGGGTATCAGGGTCAGTTTAGAGCAGACAGGGGAAAGGCGGGGTGCTGACAAGGGGGCCGCCCCAGGGGCCTAGAACAAGGTCCTTTCTGTAGGGAAAGCAGCAGGAAATGAAGAGAGGGGTGAAAATCACAAGGATCTGGTAGAAGACAGGAAGGTGGGGTCGAGGGGGAGGAAGGACAGCAGGGACCCTCAGAGTCATACTAGGAGCTTGGCCATCACTGGATCGGTGACGCCATTTATTGCAATGGCGAAGACAGGCAACAGCTGATTGAAGCAAGGGTAAGGAAATGACGAAGTCCATGGCAGCCATGTTGAAAATGGAATAGCTGTGTCTATGCAATATCCACATAGAAACATTCCTGCAGGGACTGTATAGACTCTAGAGTGTGATGGGTGACGTTGTGGATACCTGGATCCTAGAAGGGGGGCGTACTAAAATCCCAGTTCTATCACTTACGGATTTCAGAGCTTTGGACAAATCGCAGTATCTCTTCAACTCAGTTTTACTCATCTGTCTAGTGGAAAAGGCGCCATCTCATTCCCAGAGCCGTTGGTCAGATGAGGTAATACAGGCACTTATGATATGAGCCACAAACTCCATGAAGAGGATAAGGCGAACATACAAAGATGGGGGAGGGGGCATCAGCACAGAGCCCAAAACAAAATCATGGAAACATGTACACAGAGAAAGAGTAACAAGTCCAACAGCAAGACACCAAGGAACCAGTGTAAGACGGGGCAGAAAGAAGGCCGTAAGTGGAGTGACTGAAGCCAGGGGCTATCCCGTGACGTTCGCTCTGGCCATGGTCAAGTGTCTGCGGTTTAGGATTTTGTGCTGCGTTATATTTATAGCTCTCTTTAGCCACATTCGGCCCATGTGTTGGACACACCTTTGGTACCCAATGTTCCACACAGTCTTTCCAACAGCCCACGCAGCACTTGGTTCATGACAATGCATTGAGCAATATACTGGAAGTGTGAACACTGGTCTGTCAGATAAATGAGTGTGGCCTGGACACCATGTTTGCTGCCCCAGTTTCCGAGGGCACACAGGGGAAGAAGAGATCTGGCAAGCCTCCATTCATCCCTTTCTCCGCTGCCTTTTCCTTCCCTCTGACCTCTGTTCAACCGCCCCCGCCCCAATGCAGCTAAGTGGCAGTGGCATGCCTCAGATGCCCAGTGGGGTGCAGCAATGGACTTATGGACTTGCGCGCATGTGTGCGTGTGTGCGTGCGTGTGTGCGTGCGTGCGTGCGTGTGTGTCCTTGCCCAGGATGAGCTCAGCAGCCATAGTCCCGGGGAAGAAGGGAGTGAGGGTTCAGGCATAGGAAGGAAGGACAGTTGTACCTTCCCTGTGCTTCTCGTGTCGTGTTGTGTGTTCTGGGATGCTGTCAGGGGACATGTGTTTCAGCGGTCTCACTGACCCTTTGCGAAGCCCCGTCTGTACCATCCCTTCTCTGCCGTATCAGCTCTCTCAAGCACACTGACTGTTGACGGAGGGAGGAGCTCTCCCTAAAGCTCCTCTGTTTCCTCAGTCCTGGATGGACAGTGGACACTCAGATCCTCACTACATGGCACAGACTTGCTGAGGAATCCTAAAACTTACTTTGATCCAGTGCTAGTACTGTGAAGACTATCTTCAAACACATACAAAACCCAACCCACAAGCCACCCTTATCTGCACAAAGGTATTTAGACTTGTTTTCTCTATAATACTGAGAAACTGGAAACAAACCAACTAGGGAGATAGGTTAAGTAAACGACAATCCCTCAATATTGTGTAACAGTCCACTGCCATTCAAATGGCAACCAGACTGTCCATGCATGAAGAAACCAGTACCCGGTGAGAAGCAGCAAGTATAAAAGGCAGAACATCAAACAGTACAGACATGAAAGAAAATACAATGTAGCTAAAAAACAAAGGCCTGGGGGGCGCACGGGGGGGGGGGGCGGCATCAGCCATCCTCACATTCCCCAGGGGAATGGCCATGAGCAAATCACACTTCCTTTAAAGTTGTTTTCCTGCGTAGGATCTAGAGATCGCAGCATCCACCTCTCAGGACTGAGGAGTGGAAGAAGACATTACAGAAAGCAGATCCAGCAGCTGCCTAGCATGGAGCTATTTTCAGCCCAGGGATCACAGGCATCCCAACTCATACACAGGCAGGAAGAGGAGGGGTATTCTGGGGAAATGGGGAAACGGACACCTCCTCAGTGAAGGGAGACTGCCTGTGGCAAATGTGATCCAATCTTCCATTGCCTTGAAAAACCACAGTAAAAAGGCATCCTGTGCACTGATGCACAGCCCATAGGGATATATGCAAATCGTATGCAAACCCACATAATTCTCTTTGCTGGGTACCTGGATGTGGCCCTTGGGGTAATCCTAGTGAAAAACCAGTTTTCTTCAAAAGGAAAACAGAAACTGAATCACATTCAGGAAAATTCAACACATCATAAAACTCGTATGTGACATTTTTTCTGCTAGCATCTTCTATCCCAGGAGGAAAGAGGCACGTCATCA